TGTCTAATTTTTGTTATAAATTGCTGAATTACACTTGTAAATCGTCTAATTTCACTTGTTCACTTACACTCAAACACTTACATTTTGGGTTGTGAATTCTTTTGTGTTTGCCAAATTTGGGTTGTAAATCCATAAACTTTTATTGTAAATCTTCAAAATTTACTTGCTCATTTGCACTTAAATACTTGCATTTTGGGTTATGACTTCTATTATGTTATTTGTAAATTGCCTAATTTTTGTTGCAAATTTCTGAATTCCACTTGTAAATCGTCTAATTTCACTTGTTCACTTACATTTGGACTGTTGCGTTTATTTTGTTATATATAGTTTTATTTGCATTTTATGATTGAATGGGTTGCTTGGCTTGGTAGTTACAAGTCTTTTGGTGTGCCAAGGGGTCCTGGGTTCAAACCCTCCCTTGGCCACTTTGTTTTAAACAAAAAAAACTTCGGCCACCGGAGGTCTCGCCGGAGTTACTGTTCCGGCCACCGATGACCGGACCCCCACGGTGGCCACCTGAGCGCCGGTGGCCGGAACAGTAACTTCGGTAAATATTTATTTTTTAATAAAATAAAAAGGGAGGGGTATTATTGTAATCTCACTCTAAAAATTAATATCAGATTGGTCCCTTGGTCCTGCAGTGAGGTTTCAGAAAGTTTTGGGGGCTCTTTGAGATTATTTGTCTTCTGCGGTCCTACAGTGAAATTCCCCAAAAAAAAAATGAGGTGGATCACATGTAGATCTACCATCTCAGCATATTTGGTTATTTAATGATAAAATTTAACATGGATAACAGTTGGGGTAATATTGCTATAATTTGAAAACTTGTGGATACCAAGTGCTCATGAGTAAACACTTCTGAGACAAATTTACACTTAACTTCAAAAAGAAAATAATATGGATGACACGTGAACATGCCAACTCAGTATAGTTGATCAACTAACAGACAAACTTAACCTTGATAACAGCCAGGGCGACATTGCTATGATTTGGAAACTTCTAGGGTGCTATTGAGTCAAAAAATACTTCCAGATACCCAGTATTCCTAGGCACAAACTTCAGGACAAATTTGTACCTTAGTATTTATTTCATTTAAAAAAGGATAATTATAGGATGTGGTGAGAGAGGATATCAGAGATTTAGTTAGGAGCAAAACAATATTTTTAAATTTATATTTTGGTATTTGATCCTTCTAAACAATTATAATTTTTAAGATCCTTTTCAATAAATATTATTCATATTAGGTCTCGCTCTCTAATTCTTCCTAAGAACTAATATTTTAGACTGTGTAAAATATATGAACAAAAACAATAAAAAAGTACAAGAATTAAAATCCAAACTCATTAAAAATATAAAGATTTGGAGAGAATTTAATCCTAAAATTTATGTTTCACCTACGTGTCTTTTCTTTTAAATTTAAAATTTATACTTTATCTTGCATAGGAGATTCACATATCAATATAATTCAACATATCCACTAAAATTATATCCAATCACACCATTTATAAATTTCAAGAATTGGGACTCAACTGGTGACTAAGATTAAGTGGCTTTTTTTCTTATTATTACTACTAAAAGTTTAGGAGAGCCGAATTTCGGGTGTAAAGAAAATCCACCTCCTAAAACTAAAAATTTACTTACTTTAAAGCTCTTTTAATCATTCCTATAGAAAAATGATTAAAGTAGCTACTATAGTAGAAAATATTTAACTCATTTCAAATTAAATTCATAATAGAAAAGAAACAATTAATGACTTAGAAGGTCTATTATAGATATTTAAAACTCCTTGTTAATATTCATACAAATTAACGTTTAGAAGAATTAAATCTCCTCTTGAAAGTATACATGAATGTAAAAATTTCATATCACCTGAACATGCGAAGCGATGTTAAAAAAGAGTTTAGTCCCACTAACATGATAATGGGAAATAAGCCCTTATCTACCATAAATAACACATTTATAAACATCTCAAGATGGGTTTCTGAGTATCAAAAACCAAAGCTCACTTCACAACCAAGTTACCGAATAATACTTATAATATATCAACACAATCAGTGTGGATTTACGGATAATACTCATGCATCACCCTAAGGTCTCTGGCCTACTACTAGCACTCAATCCCAACAATCCAATAAACAAAGTACAATTCCATAGTCAAATATCTAAACAACATAGAGTATGCAAAAGAAAGAAGCTTTCGGTGACAATATACAATCTATCGTTACATATAAAAAATACGAAAGCAGTACTAGAAGTTATGAAAGCTTAGGCCTCTGAATTGTTCTCTGACAGTGTGACCCTATAACTTTCACTTAGAAACATCAATAACCATGGGATGAGACATAAACCTCAGTAACCAATAGTCCAACTCATCATACATACTAATATGTACTTGTGAAGGTGTCAAGTGAAATAATTAAGAATTAATAGATAAAAATATATAAATATATCAGATAACAACAGTTCTGAAACTCATAAATCAATTCCTGGAATTCATAGTTTATAAAGCAATGCCATTATGCATATGCAATCCCTAAAATTGCCTTCTCTCACTATGGGAGAAGTAAAAACCCAGAAAACCAATCTCTTACTCTAAGAGAAAGAGCCAAAAAGGTGATCATTCACTATAAGGGATATAAAGAAATCCCGAGGTTTGTCCCTCACTCTAGAGGGACTATACCAAGAGGCTGTTCTCTTATTTTTGAGGGAATGTAAGGAGCCAATTATTATACATTAATTGAGGCATTCATCACGTGAAGATAACAGTCATATATTACTCACCAATTCCCATTGTATGCATCATACTCAAGAATGTATTCCATCAATTCCAAATCACATAATCCATTTACAAATCAAAACCTATAGTTATAAAATGATATCATGAACTCAAAGGATTGCGTGTAGTTCCACATGACTTATTTAATTCCATTATATCAACATAATTTGAAATATAATCCAAAATACCTTTCATAGTTTCAAAGCAATAAAATCACTCACAAACAACCTATTAGCATATATAATGAGTGGAAAGTGGTTGCTTTTCATCTAAGCAAGGGTCAATTACCGCAAACATGTTACCCTGAGCACAATAACACCAATTCCAAACAATTTACACAATTACACAATCACCACATACCAGTTAACAAACTAATCAAGTAGTTAAAAATGATAATTAGGACTTAAAATCCCAACTCAACCAAAAACTCCTCTTAACTTCAAATTGACCAATTCAAAACTTAATACACAATCCTAATAAACTCCCAATTACACCAATTGATTAAAAACCCCAATTTTTTCAATTTAAATTCATCATAAAAAATACCCGAATATGAAAATAAACTAAATCAATATTCTAAACCGATTAAATATCAATTCTAACTTGTAATAATATAACTGATAGTCAAAACTCATTTTGAGTTATTATAATATCATTAACCATCATAAACCTCCCAAAAATCACAAAATCTAGGTTCAAATTCTTCCAAACTCCAAACTCAAGAAAACTAAATTGATTAAACACTTGAAATTATCCATTGAAATAATTTAAATTTAAAATAATCAGTCAAAACCTTAGCCCATTTGAAATCATTGAAGAATCCTAAAATTCAACTTTCTCAATCTTAAAAAATGTAAGAAAAAGGGTAAAAAAAAAAGGTTAGAAATATTTACTTTGATGTCTGAAAGTTCAAATATACTCATAAGGACCAAAATCTACAAGTCCTAGTAGATTCCCAATATTCCACCACGCTAAATTATCTTAAAAACGCGTATGAAACTGATTTTAAAAGCTAGTTCGAGCCACGTTCGCTGTGTGTTGAATGGCACTTAAAAAAAGTGTCCTTGCTGTCAAGCCATTCACTATGGTGTTCGCTATAGCTAACTCATAGCAAATGTCACATAGCAAGAAAAAAACCCAATTGTAAAAATTCACAAGTAAGTCTACACACCTCCAAAAATTACAAATTAAGACTCTTTAAAAAGCTTGAGATGTTTATTTGTTAATTTAAAAAGAACTAATCAAAGATAAGATCATTTGGTCCTCTAAAATTCTTGATTTCCAAGACTGCTTAAAAAATGCCTAGGGTCAAGACCTCCAATCAGAAATCTTAGTGCTTTTAAGCCTCAAACCTCCAAATCCAACCACTCCATGCATCAAATTTATAATAATTTCCTTAATCTACTCAAATTAGTCAACTGATTCTTATATTAAGGATCAGGGGTAGTATAAATTAATTATTTAACTCTTATATATTCAAGATTAGAGATAGTATTATATCTTTAATTTTAATTAACAGCATAACCTTATCATGAAAAAAGTGAATAACATAGAAGAAGGTTAGCGAGTTGTGTATGCATTATAATTAAGGATATGGGTCAAAATTAATGATTACAACATGACTGGCGACTGATTAATGTTTGAATTTTCGCCGAAAAAAGTATTTACATTTAGTGCCTGATAATACTTCATTCTATTTATATATACATCATAAGGATATGGGTCAAAATTAATGATTACAACATGAAAGATTAAGGTTTGAATGCTCGTTGAAAAGAAAGATTTATATTCAGTGTCTGATAATATTTCAAACAAAACTGCATCCAATAGAAAGATATATATATATATATATATGCTTAAAACAAAATAATGAATTTATATTTTATAAGATGAAGCAATTATTTTTAAAAAAAAACTTAAAAAGCTAAGAAAGATAAAATAGTAATGGATTTTTTTTTACCAGCAAAATAGTAATGGAATTTTATTTTTTTGGACTGAAAAAATAGTAATGGAATTGGCCTGTGAGAAGTTGGTATTTGGTATGATCCAAATTAAAGTGGGGGGGCGAGAACGAAGGGCGGGGAGTTGTCAACCCCACAGTGCGTTTGGATTTGTGGCTGTGAAGTTAGGTTGGAGTTGAACAGAACTGACAAACGCTCATTGATTGTGTCTTCGTTTATTGAGCCTCTCATTGACATTTATAAAATACTGTGTGGTTTTTGTTGTTGCCTTTACACTCGGCTTCAAGGTCCCCCCTGCAAATTCCTCCGCCCTAATCAAATAAGCATCGCGTCTCCCCATCATCATCATCATCATCATCATCAGCTTGGAACACCAGCCACCCAACATACGTTTCCCTCAAAAACAGAACTATCATACCCGCATGGATTTGGTGAAATTCTGTCTTCTTCTGTCTGCCTCTTTTCTCCTTCCCGCTTTTGCATATCCAGCTTCTTTCTTCTGACTTCCTTCACTTCTCTCGTATTTCATGCTTCAAGCAATGAAACTGGCAGCAGTTTTCAATTATGAGAACGCTTTGTGACGCTTGTGAGAGCGCCGCCGCTATCGTTTTCTGCGCCGCCGATGAGGCCGCTCTCTGCCGTGCCTGTGACGAGAAGGTGGATTTTTTCTTTTCCTTTCTTTTTCTTTTCTAAAATCCTTTTAACCATCGAATCGGTTAACAAAACAATTCCATGACTCTAGATCCTTTTAAATAAGCCAAAGTTGACTGTTATACTAGTTCAAGAGCAATGGACTATCGAGAAAAGCTCTTTTCTTCTTTCTAATTTTTCTCTCTCTGTCTATTTCCAGTGCTATCGTACTGTTTTTTATTTTTACAATAATGTTGGGCTCATCATTATGATGAAATCAATATGACGACAAGAAATGAAATTCGTGGGGGAAAAAATCCGTTGACAGAGAGGAATTGAGCACTTAAGAGATATTCTCTTCTGCCATAAAAGGAGGGACTTGCAATTTGGCCACCCGGCTTTTGTGTTGCTTCATATACATATTTGAATAGGTCTTTTATTGAACTTGTGTAGATTTGAAGTCTAAATCAAAGGTCATTTTTTCTGGTGACTGGTAACGTTGATCCTGGTCAATTTCTCAAAGCAATGATTTGGAGTTTAATCTATTTGAGTGACAGGTTCATATGTGTAACAAGCTAGCTAGCCGACATGTAAGGGTTGGTCTGGCCAGTCCTAGTGATGTGCCTCGCTGTGACATATGTGAAAATGCGCCTGGTAGACAGTTTCCTTTCTCGATCTTTATCCTAATTTTATCTGCCTCAAAGCTCATTTCATGCCTTTTGAACTTGGATGTAGCATTCTTCTATTGCGAGACAGATGGAAGTTCACTTTGCTTGCAGTGTGACATGATGGTTCATGTTGGCGGCAAAAGAAAACATGGAAGGTATCTTCTTTTTAGGCAGAGAGTTGAGGTAGGCCTCTCCTTCCACCTTAAGCTGTTCATAATTTCTGATTTTGCTGCCATGTTTTGTCTCATATATGTGTGTGTGTGCCTGTTTGCTCCATAGTTTCCAGGAGATAAAACTGGTCTTCCAGAAAACTCAGCTTCACTGCCTTTGGAACCTGGTGAGACTAAAAGAGGACAAAATCCTCTGCCTAAAGTAAAAGTGGGAGAGAGAAAACAAAATCATAGGTTAGCCGTGGTTGCAGCACCTGAACATGATGCTGACAGCCATGCCATGATGGGAACTAACATGATTGATTTGAACATGAAGCCTCAGAGAATACATGAACAAGCTTCCAATAATCAGGTCAGATTGCATAAGAAGTCAATTTTCTCCGGCTAGTTAGAAATCGCCATCCGAGTTCATGCGTGCTTAAGATAAATAGTTAGTCACTTTTCAATTCTCACAGGCTTGAAGGAAAATAGAATCATTAACTTTATTTATTCGGTTAACTGGTCTTAATAACTAAGGGAGTCATGATTCACAGGAATGACACTGTAGAACTGGACCAACTGGAGTTTGGGGATATAATTTAAAAGAAAAGGAATTTGAACCATGTCATGATTCAATCCACCAAGTATTAAACTGGTTGGCTGGTGAAGAACTAGTTATCAACCTTGCTTGATGCTTGGCATCAAGTTCCACTGTTGTACTTAGTCACGTTTTGTCAAGTCAGATTCCCAGCCTGCCTTGAAGGATCATCTCGAGGTCCCTTCGTATCAGGAGACATCGTGCAGAACAAATTCGTTTCCCTCAAGCAGCTTGCAGAAGTTAACGTTACAAGGTCACTATTAAATGTCCTATTTGTTGTGAGGCTGGAGAATCCATTAGAAAACATCTTAAAAGAGGTTTTGCACCAGTGAAAAGAAGAAAAACTTGTAAACTTCTAAGTATTGCATCCTTCCAAAACAGAGATCGTAAATTCTTATAAAGCATTAAAAAAAAGTACAAATCATTGGTTTCGATGGGTCTGTTTTGTTGTCAAGTTGAAGTTGAGCTAATAACATCTTAACATTACGAATTGCATACACCAGCATATTTGCACATAATGGTTCTTTTGTTCTTGGCAGCCATAATTTGTGCAACTAGTGAGTTCAATTTCTGCAAGTATCTTACGCCATCAATCTATGGGGGCCAAAAAATTGTCATATATTTCTCACGTAGTCAAGTTACAGTGTTGGCAAAGTGTAAACATCCTCTTTGGCAAATGGGGTTCAGAAATGAAGCCTTAAGGAGTTCAATTTTGTTATTCAACACCACGCATGTTTGTATTGCACAACTTTGCTTAGTTTAAACCTCTGCACTGATTTGTAAGATAGCTTGCGCTCTTGGTTCGAAGGTCTTGCTTTGTCAATTGGCTGCCTCCGAAGCAAAACAGGTGAAAAGAGACCTTTTAGTGGCGTGTTAAACAACACATGATGGTAGAAATTATAGCTTCCAGATTTGCCATTGATGTAAATAAAGTGTACATCTTATTCCCCAGAGATTGAAAATTTGAGATTAGATGTTTAGGAGTTAAAAGTGACAATGTTTTGCAGCTGTGGTTTGTGGCGGCTGTAAATAAAAGAGCATCTCGTAATTGTTAGAAGACAATCATTTACTTCCTCTGATGAAGACTTTCATGGTTGTAAATACCTTCATTGTCGAATGGAGAACCGATTCTTTACGCGTCATTGTTTCCTTTATACTCTGCAAATTAGACAAAGCTATGTGTTCCTTGGTTGAGCAGTAAGGAGCTACAGCCCTGGATCAGTGTGCTTTGACCCAACCCGACTTTCAATCCCGTGTTGTAAGCCCTTGGTTTCGAAAATTTGAGTGCATTTTAAAATTTATCTCATGTAAATTGTTTTTAAATTTAATATTTAATTATTAAAATATTTTTGTAATTTGTAATTTATTGGATGGATGAGTAAATATTAGAAACATTTTTTTATTACAAGATATTAGAAACATTTTAAAGAAAAGGCGAATGTAATGAAAAAATCAAAATGTTTTATTATAATATTTAGGATAAAGGTGCCATACGATCTTTTTTGTGGCGCAATTTTATCCAAAACAAATTATGGGTAAAATTGTACTACTAAAAAATCAAAGTATTGAGTGCATATAAGAAATAAGATCAAGAGTAAAATTATCATTACCCCAATATTTATTTAACATAATTATTATTTAATGATATTTTATATTTTATGCATGGGTATTGAATTGATTTTAAATTTATTTTTAATTCCGCATTTTATAATCCAAACTATGAAAAGAAGTTTGAGGATTTTGTTTTTGGAAAAAAGAAAGGATTTATGGAAAGTGGAAAATGAAATTAAAGACGGGGAACAATGAAAAGAAAAGTGTGCTTCTTTCTTTTTCATTGCTTGGCACATTTAAATCAGATTATACTGGCTTAACAGATAATTCCTTCTTCTCTTTTCAGTTTTCAAATGGTGCTGGTTCTTTTTTTTTTTTTTTAAATACAATTTCTGAATGTTTATTCATAATTCAAAGTGTACTTTTTTTTTGGCCAACGAAAAGTGTACTTTCAAAATTTCAAATTATTCGTATCTTAAGATTTCAGTTAAAAATAAAAACAGAATTTTATTTCAAATTAAAAAATTATTTATTTATTTTTATTGTCTAAAATAAAATTATTGTTATGAAATTAAATACTCCTCCGGTCCTTAATATAGGACCCAATTTTTGAGTTGATTTTGGTTTTAAATATAAGACCCATTTCTCATATTTATTAATTTTCTCTAAATTACCCTTATGGATACTCCATCACCCATAATCAAGTAGAAGAGGGAGAGAGGGTATTAAAAAAGATGATTATGGTGTTTTAGAAAAAATGTGTCACTTTTCTTATAATTAACTAACTTACCTAACTTCCTTAATTTAATCAAATTAGTTAAATGAGTCTTATATTAAGGACCGGAGGAGTATATATAAAAGAAATAATTAGGATGAGAGAGATCAACAAGATAAAGTTGGGAGATAAAATAAGTAGTTCCTATTTATTTCAACGCTACAATCGCTTGGCCTCATCAAATCCTTAAATTGAAACATAAAAATTATGATAATACAAATTAGAGCCAGTTAAAACATTTAGAGGCAGGTTGGGGTTGTAATTTTGCTAGCCCACTAATGCACGGACTACTTCAACCTTATAAGTTGCGAGTGGCAGGTCACCCTCCCAATTTTTTTCCCCCTAAATTTGTTGTTAAATATAATAATTAATATTAGAAATTTAAAATATGGTTAAGATGCACCCGTTACTTTAAAATATTTTCAGGATACATCTAATATTCTAAAATTATTTATGGAGTAATTTCACTTT